GACACAAAGCAGTTACTGTTATGTACTTACCTCTCCTGATGAGAGGACACTGCTTACATACAACAAGAATCTTGGCACTCATACTCTTGCCAGCTTGTTGAATTGCTAAATTCCCCTCCTTATAGACATTAATGATGGCTATTGTTGCATGCAGGCTGCCAGCCCGGGTTATCGTTGTGATTACAGTTCCAGTTATGACTAGGAAAAAAGATGTTTGATACATGTGATACATTTATATTTTAGACATTAAATTTTGTGGCATCATAAAACTTAGTAAGTGTATTAGTCCTTAATAAGGAAATAATACTGGCAACAGTTACTAAAAACATTCATATCACCTGTAATAAATAAACCACTACTGTCAAATTTTGGTGGCACCAAATATAAAATTGTTGTAAAATGTGCCGGTCTCTTGCAAGCCCAGTTCTTGGGTTTGATAATTTCAGTTAAACAGTACGACTTTATCCTCCTTTAATGATGAATTTTAAAACATGGAGAAGTTGATTTGAAAGTGTTCTAGGCAGAAGCTGAATTGCCAGCTCTCTGACACTCCCAAATGAGTTGCAGGGAATAGTTCATGCCCTAGGAACTAGATTTTCATCTGTCTGAGGCCTGATACTGATATAAATTTGTCAACTTCAGCTAAATGTAGATTACAGATTAGACATCATATCTCCCAAAGACTTCTCAGTATGAAAATAAAGATACTTTCTTTTCCCTGGAATGACCAGATTAACTCTTAAACCATCTTTGTTTATTAGAAGGAAGTGGTAACTGGTATTATCTATTTGTTTTCTTCTCAGGTCACCTTTTGTAAATCAGATATTCTATCCTGGGATCAATTAGATCTTCAGTAATTAAGCATGTATAGCCAGATTTATTTACAAAACTGCATAATCCACATTTTGGGTTATGTGTTTGTAAATTTGCACATTATCTTTCTTTAATGCAGAGCTTTTAATTAAATAGGAGTGTTCAAGTTCAGTCAAAAAGAGACCTGTGGATGTTGAAATGCTGGGTATTGCAGCTATATTTCTAGAAACAATAAAAGTGAAATGCATGATGAAAGAAATGCTCTTATTTTCTAAATTCAGAAAGTCAGCAAATAAAACTTAGAATGAATCATAATCTACGAACAGTAGACTTCCTATTCTTACCTTAGGATATGCTTACATTCACAGTAGCATATCAAATATCTTTACTCTCAGTCCTGCCATGGAAAAGACTGAAAAATGTCAAGTATTTGATAACAGGTGAGACAGAAGAATGTGATTTATTACCCTGATGGTAGAGGAAAAAAACAAGTTTTTTTATAGTGTCATTTACCATCAGCCACGAGGGAGGTGTGGTCAGTAAGAGGAGACCATTTCTGGTTTGGGATTTTTTTCCTACCTGCTTCTTTTCATCTTGGACCAGCCTGTACTGGTGGCAAAACAGGCTGGTGGTCAGGGGTGGGAAGGGGTCCCCTGACTCCATCCTGCCTCAGGAAACAGCTCCAGCCCTCCACTGCTGCTCTGGCAGCATCAGGCAAAGCTGCCCTCACACTCCTCAACCAGATCTCCTCAAATCTCATGGGGTTAGCAATATAAGTCAGAAGAATCTGGTTAAAGTGAAAAAAACAAAGGGGGCAGGGGAAGTTTTCCCATCAAATTGTTAGGGATTTTATAGGGGATTAAAAAAAGTTTCCAGTATTAATGAGGGAAAATACTCTGATACCTAACTGAACAGCCCAGCAGTGACAATGCCATCCTAATGCACAGCAGACACCGCTTTTCCTGAGTGCTTTGTGTCTGTACATACAGCAGTGCATGTCAGCTTCCATGACTTCTTTTAAAAATACTTTGGAAGTGTATACAGTGAATTGTGGCACAGTCAGCAGGTGCAGCATAATGTATATGGGCTGGTTACAGACACATGAGCTGACAATACAGTAACTGAATCCACACTTCCCTGTGGTTGTCTTTTCAGATTGAGAAAGTGTGTTTGTCTCAGACATCTGTGCAGTGCCTATTTCAAAATATCTCCAAGAATGCACTGAGTGAAACACCAGATCCTAATGTCAGGTACACATAAAGTGGTGTAAAAATATAGCCTATTATATTAATGATAACTCAGAACTACATCTGGTAAAACTCCCTTGAGTCTAAAAACACAGTGCTGAGTGAATAGTTAAAAAGAAACTTTGCTTCCTTACCAAAGTTGCTTGAACAATAATTGCTTTCCAGAGTCCCACTCCTTTTACACTTTTGCTGGCACAGGGCAACTGTAGGTTTCGCAACTTTTTGAAGAGAAGAAGTAAATTGAAATTGAAATGAAGTATTAGGTACAAGTGCAAACCAGTATGTTTAAAAAAAAAGAGAAGAAAGATGAATAATCCTGATATGTACATGAACACCACAGTAACAATATTCCTTTTCTCTGCCATCACCTCCAATGATCATCTTTTCCGGTGTCTCAGCTGTGTCTGTTCTAGTGACCTGATAGAATGGGGTGTTACAGAAAACTTACACGTGATCACAGTGGGATCTTAAATATGTAACCAAGTGCTGTTGCCACACAGCCCTAGTAGTACACTTGAAATATCATAACATGATATTACAGTAATGCTTCTGAGGGAGGGGGTGGCTTTTATTGGAAATTACTGTACTGTGATGGAAGGGATCAGAGTTCAAATTCCTGACTTTTTTTTTTTCAGAATTTTTTACATAGCTTCTTGACGTGTAGTACTGCATGGTTTTTATTAATGACGTTTTGAAACACAATGTTTGAAGTGTGTATTTAACATTAGGGATTGACTTTTCCTTTCTGAAACGAAATGGTTTGTTTATAAACAACTGAATACACTTGGTATCTTTCTCCTACTTGGGTGGATATTAATGGTCTCTGTACTTTACTCAGCTGACCCTTTCTACGTAACATGTTGGGATGCAGTACTTTCAGGCTTTTATGTCCTTTTCAAATTTGTTTGGAATTGGTCAGTGGCATCGTAATTATTGGATGGAGGTGAGACAGATAGATTTAGAAAATGTATTTATAGCATTTATTTCTTCAGGTACTAATATTTTTATGTAAGATGGAGACTGAGGCAATTCTTTAAAGCACCTACTTAAGTTTAATATTTTATTCATGCCTGGAGTTCTGTGCAAGTTTGAACAGAGCTGATTTGCAAGATAATAAGTTAAATCTATTTGAACTGGACACTTATGAATGCAAATGATTGCTCTGAAATCTAACTAAACCGTAGAGGTTTGGTTTGCTTTGGTTTGTTTTTAAGCTCAGAAATGCCTACATCATGCATAACTGAGCAGACAGTGAAAGGACTTCTTGCTTCTGTCTGCCTGACAAGTGCTTCTGAAACATTCCCTCTGTTGTCCTCTCTCAGATGAGTCTGCATGTTTTTATTTTCTAACACTGATGTTGTCATAAAAATTGATTTGGAGTTAATTGGTAAAGCTCACTCTGTTCCCTTCAGCCATGAGCAGCTCAGAGAGCGAAATGACGGCAAACCCTGAACACAGCACGAGGGAGAACTGACAGCCTGGGTTACTTGAGACCAGGTGTTTGAACTAACAACTGCATTAAAAAGTGCTTTATAGTGAAGAAGAGCTGAATTATTTATTCAGTCAGAGCAGCAGTCACATCAGAATGATTTATAGGTCATTATAATTTCATTTTTATAATGTTTATTTTCATCTATTTTAAATACCTTTCGTTAGCACTATTTAAACACCACAGCTTCTTGGTTTCCTGCTGTCCTCACTTTTGATGCATTTTAAGTACAAATCAGGTTATGTCTTGCAAAAACATCATAAATAATTTGGTTTTCTGCTATAACTTTCTTGAATCTCTCACATTCAGGTTATAGAAATTCTAAGAATTTATCCCTTCAGTATCTCAGTAATGAGCTAGTTTTGGCAATACCTTCAAAAAAACCCTCCTCTGATCTTTCATATATGCTGTCTAGTCTAAAATATAAAAGGAAACTTATTTTTAGTGTGACATATTTCTTTATAAGTTCCAATCCCAGAATTTTTTAAAATAAAAATAATTCTAGGAGAGTGTCACATTGACAGGGTGTTGGCAGAATATGAAGAGGGCTCAGGTGGCTTCCATACCAATTTTGCTTGATGTTAATAACTATATGAAGAAAAATACAGTGAGATTTTTACAAATCAACTTCTATAGAAGAAAGAGTTCCTTTAAATAAAACTATTTCTTGAAATAGTTAGAACTTCTTATACAAAAGAAATTTGCTCATCCATTCTTCTAGTTAACTGTCCCAAATTTAGAAGAGACAGGAAGATTCTCTCTGGTGGAATGAGTTACCATTACACTTAACTCTTGCCTGGATGGATTTCCTTTTAAAAATGTTAAGTAGATTCTCCCATGAGTATGTTAAGGTACTCTCTTGAGTCTATTAATTTTAATTAATTCCCTCAAGGTTTGAAATACTAACAAACCATAAAACTTTAATTTTTAATATACCTTCTATTACAGAGTTCTGTAACCCTCTCCTTGTCCTGGAATAATTAATTTTTCTAAGAAATTATATAAAGTCAGTAAAACTTACTTGAGGTAGCAGGGACTGTTGTGGTTGTAGGTGGAACTGTAGTTGTGGGTAACTTTTTTGGTCTAAATTTATAATGGCCAATAAAACCATCAGCTGTTAAGCTTAAATCAGACAAAAACTGAATGAGCAACTCATTTCTCTCAGACAGAATGGGCCTGAAATAGAAAACCAAAATAAAATATTTCCATTATTTTGAATGTCAAAGCCAAAAAGCATTAACAGCCTTCTTTAAGAAAAAAGAGAGTGCTTCTCTTTAATTACTGGTCTGAATGCAGTGGCTGCCTCCAAACTAATACTGAAAAGTACGTGGTTCTTTGTGGGTGTGTCACACACTGGTGTGTGTGAGGATGAAACTCGTTTTGATGAATCACCTAAAACTCTGATTCCTGAAGGTTATGCCAATATGGGTATCCTTAAATTCTTCTGTGTGAATTCATTGCAGACCTCACTTACATGGAGCGGAAGGGGCCAGACTGAGACAGTGGGAAAATACATTGAAGAAGTCCTCATTATGTACGGGAGGTAAGTAAATGGGGTTTTTAAAATTTGTTGTTGTTTAATGAAAAACATGTTACACATTTGGAAGGACACAGGAAAATTATTTCAATTTTGGGTTCTGTAACTCTTCAACAAAACCACCAAAAATAAAATGTTTTGGGTTGTTATTTCTGTGGGCTTACTTCTTGTCAATTATTGGATATTCATGACCAAGGCCTTGAAGAGCTAATGGAGTTACTTTCTTAGGATCTGAAATGTCATGGACAAGTACTGCTCAGTGTATTAACTTTCAATTCACAACTGCACAGTACCTTTTGTGACACTATAACTGCCTCTGGGTGTGGAGGTAGTGCAATAGGACTTCACTCAAAACTAGTGTATGGGAAAATGATATGGAATGCAAGTCTAGCCAAAGCAGCACTTCTCTCTTTCTTTTGAGCTTTCCACAGACCTTGTGTCAATATTCATTAATAATTAGTAACACAAATTTTTCAAGCACAACCAGTTTTTGGAAAGAGAAGGAAAAATAAATACAGAGGCAAAAGAATCTTGGTGAGGAGAGAAAAAAATAGGAAGTGATTTTAAGTTGTAGTTTTACTAAAATTACTTGTGTTGTTTCTTCCCAGCAAGTCTAAGTTCATGAGCAGGACTTCTTCAAAACACTTAATCAGGCCTTTGAAGTAAAATGTTGTCATCATCTCCCATTTTTCTGGCAGATTTTCCCAAATCAGTTTACTCTGATGGCCAAGTGACAGAAACAATAAGTGCCTGGCTATCTGGAATTCTCTGGATTTCCAGCTGCCAAGGTAGTTGCACAGATCACTCTTTCCTCGCTGCAGCATTGGCACAGGCTGGGGACGTAGGAGGGCACTGATTATCAGCTGCCCAGGAGCTTTGTTCTGCTTCCTGAACACCATGACTACAAGGCCAAATCTGAAAAATCTGACCCAGTCTGTGTATGTTGTCTTTTTAAAAAGTGGCTGAGAGAGAAATAAGTCAGATAAAGTGAGTAAGGAGCCAAGGAGCCAGAGAGCTCAGCTGGATCCTTGTACTTCAGTATCTATAATCAAAACCTATATTAAGTGATGTTAATGTTCAGCTACCATTAGTATTGGTACTATACCAATATGAATAGCATTAGGATTAGTACTGGTGTTATTAGACAGTGGTCTAATGAGGCCTCTGAGACAGGAGAGAACATGGGTTGGAGCCAGGGCTAGTCACGGAGAGAGAAAAAAACCTGGAGAGAGAAAAGATACTAAGCAACTCCTAGAAGTTCAACTGGAGGCAGAAAATGTCATGTTTAATTTAAAAAATAATAAAAATCTTTCAGAAGCCTAGTACAAAACTGTAACTGCAATTATGAATAGTGACTGTAGTACTGTGTTATGACACAGTGGTGGTGAAGTTCATAATTCAAGGCAGTTACTCACGCTGGGGGACTGTCTCCACAGTACTTCCCAATCCTTTTGGCATCGTTGATCTCCCCACCATTAAACACTGCTACATAGTCATATCTGCAGTAGTTGTCTCTCTCCACATCAAACTTCTCGAACTTTAACTCTATTACCTACAAGGAAAATGTAAATAACTCATTTACTGGTGCTTCTTTTAGTAAGTGACATCTTCATGTGAAGTACTATTTGATTTTTCTTTCCATAAGGGAAAGTCCTTAATGCACTTCATTGTAAAGTATTTTGATCCACATGACCTCTCCAACAAATAGTTCAACACATGGCTCTACTATTCTGTAAAACATTTTCTTCTCAAATGTATGCAAGTAACTTCTGATAAAGTTATTTTTATGAGTGAATGATAACAGGACAGTAGGTGGTAGGTGTTACGTTGCTTTTAAAATAACTGTACAAGTATAAACCACAGAAAAGGGGTGTAATTTCATCATTCAAGATATGCTAAAGAAAAAGCAAAGGCAAAGTTGGTAGAGCCATTTCACTGACTTCATTAACAGCAGGGTTTGAATCACTGGTTGCCAATGCTGTGTACATTTGGTGCAGAATTAAAAAAGTTAGAAATTAAAATATTGATAGAAATAAAATTAACAAATAGTAAGACCATGAGAAAGTAAGTAGTTAAAAGAATTGTGTCTCCATGTCAGATTTCCATAAATGTTGAGGCTTTACAAGTCATAAATGAGAACTAGTGTAACTCTGGGATTTGCAGTGCTGATGCTATTATCTCCAATGACTTGTATGTATTGAATTTTTTACTTAAGGAAGAAAAACAATGGACAAGGAAACAGAAATTGAATCTACTACTGTGAAATGAAGCCCTGCAGAATGACTCTGTCAGTCATGTGTAGCAAGGAAGGGAAACACAACCTAACTGCTCCATGGAAACAGAGGTAATATATGCATTTAGGTTGCTTCTTTATATGAAGCACAACAGTATTTAAAACATCTTCCCATAAATAGCACAAATGAGGCTCGAATGACAACACTGAATTGTGTTGATTGTAAATATGCAGGATTTCTTTTTAAAGGTCTGTCTCAAACAAAGATGGTATTAAACTTTCTAAGACTGTACAAATAAAAACTAGTAATTTGTACATGGCATACACTTGATTTGATTTAATAACATAGTAAAAATTATCTTGTTCTATATTCATTGTAATGGTAGCCTGTTATCACCTAATGTCTTAGTTTTGCCTGAATATGCTTTTGCACTATTCAGATGTTTAAGGCATAATTTTCCTTCCCATAAAGTATGAGTAGCCTTGGGGACTTGGTTTCAGAGATGACTAACAGGCTTGTTTCAAAACCCTCGGCATCATGATGAAAAAATGCCCTTTAAATGGAAGTACCCATATGAATAATATTCTGGTGATTAAAAAAGATGGTATAGAAAGAAGCAATGCAACTGGGAATAGAAATGCTAAATTCTTCCACAGCAGGCAAAACAGCATAATATCTAATTCACTATTGCTCATAAGTGCACTTTGCACTAATTACTATTTCATGATAGAATAGAAGCTCTTCATGATCAGGAGAAGCTCCTCCATCTTCTATAATATATAAATTATTGGTTTGTATTTGAAGAAGCAAGAGAACCTTGTTTTATTGCTCACGAGCTTATGAAATGGAAATAGAGACAACAACACCTAAATTTCGGCAAAAGGAAGACTGAGGAGCTTTTTATGTGCACTTGAAGAGAGATGCTTATTCACTACTTCCTCAAAAATTGCTTTTGTCACTGTCAAAATTCTGCCTTATTTGCATGCAACCAACCACTGTTGCAGTACATGACTAATATATATTTGGAAACAGGTAGATTTATGGAACAGGATCATCAAAAGACACAGGATATAATGCATATATTTTTACGCTTATATAGCCTTTCTTAAATCTTCTCTATGAGCTTAGGAGAAGTTCTTAGGCTTATCTAGAGACATTTGGAAAGAACCAAAGTAATCTGCAGTTTACAGATAAAGTTTTAAAAATAACTGCCTATCTATAGGATTGTTACATGACCTGTATCTAGCAAACAAGGAATGTGGATTAAAGAGGAGTACAGGAAAGACTAAGCTGAAATACTGCTTCAGTTCAAGGGAGAAACTATCTTGAGAAATGGAAAAGTATGAAAGATCAGAAGAATATATTTATCTGGGGCAGCTTTTTTTATTTTGAGGATTACAGTCATGAGCAGAAGATGAAGAGGAAAGTCATCTTTATATGTAAATGAATTTAAAAAGCTGGCTGTGGCAAGAAAAGCCACCTACCAAACATTCAGTCATCGTAGACCTCCTGCCAAGGTACAAAGCAGATGGCTCAGCAGCAACCAGAAAATGTGGATTGAGATTAGCCCTATAGCACAGGGAACACACTTGTGTTTGCCATGTGTGGCACACGAGCCCTCTCTGTCTGCTGTCACATCTTTTCACATCTTAATGAAGTGGTAACATATGCTCTCATGGCATCTGGCTAATCAAGCATGTTATAAGATGGAGCCTTCAACACAGGAAATAAAACAAACTTTATGAAATGTACATTGAAAATCTCTGTCCAGGACACAGCCAAATGTATTCCCTGTGGTGTAAGCAGAATAACACAATTTCTGCTTTTAGTAAATTCAATCAGCTCCGCCTGGGAACCTCAACAACAAACTGCAGCAACGCCAGAAATGCTCTAACATTGTTAGACTTTAACATAGCCTTGGTCATCATCATGTTTGGTGCTGAGATGATCACCTGCCCTAACTTAATTTGCATAATGCTTTGTGAATTAACAAAATTATCTTTAAAAAAACCCTAGTGTAAAAGCCTCACCAGTCACAGATGCTTTAATAGTCTTGATTTAGGGGAGTGTATCAGTGCAGGGCAGAGGATGTTCAGTGCTGAGGGAGCACAGGAGTTACTGGAGTGAGACAGGCGAGGATCTCTGGAGCGTAGCTGTGCCTGCACTGGCTGCATGGACCCGCCCTGAGGCTGCAGCCAGATGCCATTTCATGGCTCGGGGCAGCACAGGCAGCGTGTCCCTGAGCCGGCTGCTGCTGGGATGGGAGTCCTTGCAGGCCATGGAAGCTGAGCCTTACCTGGTTCTTGGGGGCGACGATGTGCCAGGAGCAGGTCACTCCCGCTGGGTAGTCTCGCTCCGGCCAGTTGGGCGTTTGGAAGGACCCCGACGGCTTCTCCAGTCGTCCCCCACAGTACTGGTCCCCTGCAACACACACACCGAGCTGAGCAGAGCCCAGCGGGGGAGCCACAGCCTGGGGAACGCCCTTGTGCTGCTGCAGGGCTCAGGGGAGATGGGTGGTTCTGGCTGCTTCTGCCATGGCCCCACCACAGGACATGGCTGAGCCCTTCAGCTCAGCTGGTGGCACCTCTGGGAAAACATACTTAATTAGGGGCACCAAAAAAAGAGTACCCAGTACCACAGAACCAGCATTCCTGCAAACACTGGGGCTGGAGGAAGAGAAACCTCAGGTACTGGAGCAGCCATCCCTGCAGCCCATGGGGCAGCTGTGCTGGGGCTGACAGGCCTTCCCAAAGGAACTACAGCCTGTGGAGTGTTCATGATGGAGGGGAATATTTTTTTTCCATATCTCCTCCCCCCAGTCCCAAATTACAAAGCTACCTCAGATATGTAATTCTTATTTACAATATTGTTATGAACCTCCTTTATTGAATTAACTACATCAGCTCACAGTTGTTTAATATATCTTTCAAGAAGTTATCAATACAGAGCTTCAACTGGAAGACCTGATCAATTACTCATCACCTGCACTGAGTCTGCCCAACAACCTGTCTAGTCTGGTATCATGCACTAGCAGAAACCTTGAAAAAGAGTCACTCAGCAGGGCAGTACCACCTCCCTGTGACCTCCTAGCCTCTCACAGGTCATACTCTTCCCAAGTATGAGGTAATGCCTTTATGTTTAATAATATCTGACAAATCTTTCTTTGATATGTTTTTCTAAGTGTTTTTAAACCAGTGTAGAAAGGGACAATCCACAATGTTCCCTGGCACAGCACTCCACCACTTCAAAGCTCACTGAGAAAAATCACCTTCTCCTCTCCTCTGTAGCCACTTGCTCATCTGGTTTTAATATTGGAAGAGACAGGGACTGTGGTCCCCATTCACTTTCTCTGTACCATTTATGACTTTAGAGCCCTCTCCTACACTCCCTTCTTTTTTCTTTCTCTTTTCCAGCATGAAGTTCATGCTGTACAGTTGATCTTTGTGTAGATGAGGTTCTTTAACTCTGTCATACTTGTTGTCTCTTATTGCTTCTGATAGTTTTACTATATTCTCTTCTGAGATGGGAACATCAGAATGGCACACATTATTCAAGACATAGATGCATTATGGATTTATAGTGGCATAATTTTCTGTTATTGTTTGGTCTTCATTCTCTTTTCTAAAAATTTCTAAGTTTCTGTTTCTTTTTTTTTTTTTTGATACCTATTAAGCCCTGGATTGATGCTCAACTATTGTTTTCATAAATTACCTATTTTAAACCTAACATCTCATTCCTAAGAAGCAACAGTCAATTCAGAACCTGCTGTACTGTACACACAGTTAGGATGTTGTCCCCTTATTTGCAACATTTATCTATATTGAATTTCATCTGCCATTTTATCACAGAATCACAGAATATGCTGAATTGGAAGGCACCCACAATGATCATCAAGTCCAGCTCTTAACCCTGCACAGGACCATCCCCAAGAGTCACACCATGTGCCTGAGAGTATCATCCAAACACTCCTTGAGCTCTGTCAGCCTTGGTGCTGTGACCACTGCCCTGGGGAGCCTGTTCAGTGCCCAACCACCCTCTGGATGAAGAACCTCTTTCTAATATCCTCTATAAACCTCTCCTGACACATTCCCTTGGGTCCTGTCACTGGTCACCACAGAGAAGAGATCAGTGTCTGCCCTTCCTCTTCCCCTCACAAGGATGTTGTAACTGCAGTGACGTCTCCCCTCAGTTATTGATGAGCTATTACCATTTTACTACTAGGCTCAGTTCTTCCACTACTCCTACAGTAGTCAGTCCTTCTCTTTACTACTTTGATTAACTAAGATAGGTAAACAGCTGTACTTTGCTATTTGCTAAGCAAGATAATGCATGAATATGTTGAACAGCACAATCCCTAATATCTCTGCCATCACATCTTGTTAAGCATTAATGTGGCTCTCCATAGAGCTGCACAGTTATAAAGCATGTATATAATAGTTAATTACCTCTTTCATGTGGTTCTGCTGCAGAAAACTTCGCAATGAATCCACTTCCAGCAGTATTGGCATCTGAAGTCATCTGCACCAACATTTTATTGCTGTTGGATACGAGGGCACCTGGTTTGACAGTGCCACAGAACCTGCCGATGCGCTGTCCGTTGGCATGGCCGTTGTATATATCCACAAAATCATAGCGGCACAGGTTGTCGCTTTCCAGGTCTAAATATCGAAAAGAAAGAACCACCACTTTTCCCTCTGGGACCTGCAGAGAGACAGAGAGAAAGAGAGAGGGAGGGAGAGGTGCATCTTGAGATGAGACCGACACCACATATCTATCAGATCCCACTGTTTGCCTGAGTGTTTTCATACCCTTGACTTCTTGCCAAGAAGCTCTTTTTGTCAATTATACTCCAGGCAAAGCAGTTTTTAGAGTAATTTGGACCAATCATAAATATAAAGCTCTAGCCATCTCTTGCCATTATCTTATTTCTGATCTGCAGTATCCTCTAGTCAGGCTCATGCAGTTAATTACAAACCATCACTGCCCAGTTCAGCTTGGCGTGTTTCTCTTATTTTCTGCTGAAGTACTGAATCAGCCCTGCAGCTCCCTGTCACCAAGCAAGGTGAGGATGAGATTAACATGAAAAAAAAATGGAACAAGCAATTTACCA